ACTTTAGCAGCACACAATAGCATTCATTTGCAGATGACTACAATATTCTTTTCTCTCCTTCTCCATGTTATGAAATGAATGGGATAATTTATCCTTCTTGGAAAGAGAGAGAAGTATTTTAATGAAAGCTTGAAGAGACTTCCTGAAATTCTTCTTATCGATACCTGCTAACAAGCCTTGTCATTCAGTGTCACAGTGTCAGCTTAGCATTTCCCCAGAGTAAGGACCTTAAGCAGCAGGGAGTTCTGCACAGTCTCCCTAAAACAGCCCACAGCTGCATATTTTGGAACCTTTGGTTTGAACTTTTGGGTGCGATTTTCAAAGTAGTTCAGCTCTCCTCAAGAAGTAGTTGTCGATGTTTGCTTAGTATTAAGGCTGTGCGAATAAAGGGAGAAGCTTAACCCCATCTTCCTGGTAGGGGGGGAATGCTGGTGCATTTGGCTGTCTGCTGGAACATAAATCCTGGAGTTCTTTCCTGCGTGAACCATGGTATGATTAGATGGTTCAAGGCCAAACCGTGTATAGGCGGTTGGGAAGAAAAGTTCTACTAACAGATGTTCAAAAAAATAAAACAAAATAAAGAGCCATTTGGGCTTTTTATAAACATATTTTCTCTTACATAAAAAAGTGGGGGTTTTTCTTGCTGTAACATTTTAACATTTATTTTGTCAGAAAGAAAAATAAAAGTTTGATTTATTAGTTATGAAGTTTAACAGTTAAATTACCTCAAAATTAAATAAATTACCTTGATTAATCCCACTGAGTTCAGTAAATGACATTAGAATCTGGAACTTGCTGTTGGAGGGCAGGGCAGATTTGAGACAGAACATCAGCAAAACTCGGTAGTATCACAAAGTAAGGGTGAACCCTCACAACAAGGTATGTAACATTATTTCTAAACTTTCTAAGGATGTTCTTTTATATTTTTCATAACATATACTTGCTTTTACATCTCAGTATCAGCCAATTTATTCATTTTTCTTTATTTTATTTTAGATTTTTTTTTATTTTTCTCTCTGAAAGCCTAGAGTGAGACTTGACAAATATGAAGTGGTGATAGACAAGGAAACATAAGTAAGCTGTATGCCTCTTTTCTGAAGATAGACTTGTGACCAGAAAAGTAAAAGGTATCATGACAACCCAATGAATTTCAGGTCTGCAGAATCTGCGCATATTCTTCATACCATGTAACCCTTGGAAAAATGACCAAAGAACTTTCCGCACTGAATGAAGGATTTGTGCTTCACACAAATACTGAAACAAATGTGTTCTCTTTAAAAGTCTTATTGAAGTGGGCCTGTCTTGCCATGAACACAATCGTTAATGACCTCCATCCATGTACCATTGATCTTCCTGGAAAAGTGCCTTTTAAAGCAAATGAAGCAGACCTAGCGGTACTTAAAATCTAGTATCCTGCAGAGAGTTGAAACAACTTGTCAACAGCCAGTGCTCCAATGCTAACAGCAATTTCCCTTCCTGTCATAAACAACTGCTTCTCCACTGGGAGAAGGTATACCAACAGGTGTAATGGTCCTGTGTACCTCTCGGAAAGGGCAGAGAGCCTTCTTTCCATGCAGTATTTGGGAACATGACAACAGCTTTTGTTATTAGCAGATTCAGGTGGTAAGTAACAATTTGCAAAAACAAAGTCCCTTTGCTGGAACACAGCTTTTACAGGTATCCACTGGAGAACCAGAGGATGGGGCCAGGCAGGATGAGACATTCACACCCACAACCCAGGGAGGAGGAAAGGAGTTACTGAGGTGTTACATTAACAGTGTCAGAGCCAGAACTTGGTACAAACTTTTACCACAAGAAGTAATGAACATAAGAAAGCTAAATTAAAGATTACAATATATTGTCAAAGGTTTTAAAGTTGTATTTCACAGCTCAAGTCTATTAGTTCAGAAACTATGGTAATCTCAATTACGTGGCTAAGTACAAGTATTCCTCATTTCTTAAAACGTTCAATACTTAGAAGTGCCTCAGTATTTCAGGTCGTTTTGGAAGGAAAGAAACTCTTCAAGTATTGTGTTCTTCCATCGTGTACCTTTTGCTACCTTTATATTGTGGAGGAAATAGAACAAGGTTAAATGAAGAAATGAGGGATAGGGAGGGAGGCTCTCGTATAATTAATCAGTCTCAGAAAATCATAATTAAGCAGCAAAATACATTATTTTCTCATGAGAACAAAACAATTCCAATCTCCTGGGTAAGTCTGTAATTTGACTCTTCTGAAATAATTTAACTGATACTATAGAACAATTCAAAATCAGTTCTAACAGTCTTGGCTGAACTAAGGATGCTTTGCTTAGCTGTTGGAAAGCGTTGTACTAAAACTATTCTTATCTCTAAATACAGCATCTCTTGGTCAACATGCAACAATTTTGTGCTGTAAATTTTATCTGAGACAATTCTATGAGGGGTGCTAAAGGTTTTCCTACGCAAAGTTGCAGTAAGTGAAAAGCAAAGATCAATTACATGTTGATCTTCATGAGACAATTTCAAAGCTGATGAGTTCTGTTGATTAAAAATGCAGATTTGAACATACTTTGTATCACAAAGTGTGTAAGAAGCATCGGTATGATTGTGGAGTCACGGTTAATGCTTCTTTGATTACAGAGGATAGGCCTTCTACTGACAGATAGCAGTAATCTTGGCTCTTTTTCAGACCTCTCATGTTTTAGAGTCTGAACAAGTAACATAAAATAAATGCAAAGTTTATGATATCTATGAGATTCTTTGTTTCACAAAAATTCAGTATAGAGGAATTTAGCCAATTTTTTTGATGGCACTGTCCAAACAGAGGAGGGAAGCTAAATATTATGGGAAGCTATTAGTCCAAATTATGTTCAGTTATTCCTTTGAGGATTCTCCTCTTGGTGAAACGAGAGAAAGTATGAGAGGGAACAAATCAGTGACCATTGATGTAAGCTATTTGTTGATGTGAATTTAAACTCTATTTCTTAAGGAGTTCTGGATATGTCAAAAGCATATCATATTACACATTGTAGAGCTTTTTCTCCCTTAACTGTTGAAGCTTATGTAGAAGATAGAAGCCTCTTTTTTCTTTGGTTAATGTCATCAGCTAAAGCTAGTGAACTTTTGGGTAAATGGAAAGATTAAGGAAGAACTTATTTCACAAAAATTTAAAAAATCTATTCTCTCATCAGTTTTGCTGTCAATGTCAGCAACTTTGAAAGAAGAGCGGGTTCCATTTTGAATTCTTGATGTTGATGAGCTGTTCAAAATCTGTCCTGTATGAATGAAATGGCTCTGATTCCTGAAATTAGTCTTCCATTTTCTTGCCCTCTGCCCTACTTTAGATTTGCTGCTAGCCCCATGAAAAACAGAATGAGAGTTGCGTATACAAAAAAATGGAATTGTTATCAATATGCTATAAGAATGTAACTACCAAAATACTTTAAAACTTGCTGTATATTAGATAGATTTTTATGGTTGTTTCAGTGTATTTACAGATTATTGGGTTCATATCTTGAAACTTGTTTGCCTTCTGCTACTGCTGTGCATCTGGATTATACTTGGATTATCAAAAATTAGTGATGCGTGGAAACAGTTTTATAGTTTCTAGGTTATCACAAAATGCATAATCTGCATTATTCCTTGAAATTAAGTGCTATTTGAACACTCTAAAATGGTGTTTATTATATTTTTACAGATTATTGGGTTCATATCTTGAAACTTGTTTGCCTTCTGCTACTGCTGTGCATCTGGATTATACTTGGATTATCAAAAATTAGTGATGCGTGGAAACAGTTTTATAGTTTCTAGGTTATCACAAAATGCATAATCTGCATTATTCCTTGAAATTAAGTGCTATTTGAACACTCTAAAATGGTGTTTATTATATAATTTTGTCCTTTGTGGGTAAGAACTTAAAATCAAGGTCAAGTATATATCATTTTATTATGTCAGTTTCCCAAAAGGTCATAGTCATTATTCTGTCTCCGAGTTGTTCTTTTTATTTTCAATTTTCAACAACAAAAGCCTTTAAAAGGCTACAAACTTTCCTGAATATCTTATTGCCTGGTTTTGTAGCAGATTTATTTCTGATGTCTACTGATCAGTTCTGTATACCAACTCTGGAGCATGCAAGTTAACACAGCTGCAATTTGGTGAACCCAGATTCATATATTATGCATAAGTTTTATGACTGTGTGAACACGTGCCGTCTTCTGGGGTTTTTTTTTGTGGGTGGTGGGATTTTTTTTTTCCTTAGGTTGTTTTTTTGTGGGTGTGTTTTTGCCAGCGTGATGGCTGTTGCATCTGCTACAGTTGCTTTTTACAAGGGCCTCACTGAATGTGGCTGTCTTTTATTGCATTCAAGCCATTTTCAGAAAAAGAATGATGCTGGTTTTACAAGTAAAATTGAAATGGGTTTGAACTACAGTTTGTCCTTTTCATCCATAGTCAGATTATAAACTACATGGCATACAGAGGAAAATATCATGAGATAACTGTACACTGAACTTCTCTCTTACCCGTATTACTCTTACTGTCCTCTTTCCTATGCTGATCATGTTGCTCAAGACAGAAGAGCGTCTCTTCCAGGCCTCGCTTGGTGACCTGGTCATGTTTTTGTTACCAGTGCTGATGTTTCAGCCCAGGGGCTGAAATTACAGCAAACCCAGGCTGTTTTATCCAGCCTCGGGATCAGAAGTTACCATAAGCTGAATGTACAGTTACTATCTATATATGGGATGTGTGTAGTCTTAATTTATTTTTAAACGTTTGCTTTATTAACATATTGATATAATATCTCTTTAAAAAAACAAAGATTAAAATACACCTAGGATTGCCATTTGAAATTTTATTTAGTTAGTTGTGTCTGTCTGTATGTTTATATCTATTATGTTATTAACGGTTTAGTTTTAGAAATATATTTGAAGTTATATTTCTGAAGAGAATTAATTCTCTGGACTGTTCTCAATGATGTCAGAAATGATGTGTATCTTAACTGTTTACTCCTGTTTTTATAGATGGCTATACAACAGATGACATTGAATTTTACTGGCGTGGGGGTGATAATGCAGTCACAGGAGTGACAAAGATCGAACTGCCACAGTTCTCCATTGTAGACTACAAGCTTATCACCAAGAATGTTGTTTTCTCTACAGGTTTGTGGAGGGGAAGCTAAAAGGGGAATTCACTGGGAAGACTTTTAGAAACAGGTTAATTCTCAATTAAGTTCAGGACCTGAGCAAGAATTTTAGAAACAGGAATAAATTAAAGCAGCAACTGTGAATTTTGAAAGGAGCTGTTTTTATTACAGCTTTCACGGTGTATAAGGCATCACTCACTAGCATATGAAGACGATACGGTAGTCTGTCATATTAAGGCTCAGTCAAATAAGCTGTATTTTCTGTTTTCCTATGAAAACTGATTAAGCCACTTATATACCTCAGGGCCCTAAACCCAACAAGAAGTAACCCAGCCTGTAGGAAATTTAGGAACCTTTCTCTCACTATTTCTAGATGTTCCTTGTGCCAAGCTGTGGATGTATTAGACTAATTATTTTGTCTTTGCTGTAAAACATTTAAAATCCTTGTTCCACAGGATATGTAGTTTAGCCTGTGCTAGCAAGCATATGACTTTCTGAAGGCTGAAAAGATGCTTTGTGAGGAGGAGTAGAAAATAAGATTGGATTTAATAAAATAAAAAACGAAACAAGAAACAACTAGAACGTTTCAATGACATTAAATTATTCAAGAGAGACAAGAGCTGGGTTGCGCTATTACTATTTGCTGTTCTTTACCTACTTAAGAAAGCTGCTAGGTGTGTTAAAAAGAAAAATCTTCAAAACTCACTTTCTAAGTATGGATAGAAATCATCTTTGGAGGGAGTACAGAAGGATTGTGCACCCCAAATTCTTCAAAACCAAGCAGAAATGGGACTTGAACAGTGATCTCTAGGCACCTATTTCAACAAGTGTTTCATACACCAAAATATTTCTCGTGTCCAGTGACAAAGGGCAAGTGTTGCGTTGCTTGGAGAGAAGGTTAGAATAAGGGTTACACTGAAGTAGACATACTGCAGCTTGTCCGAGAAGAAGCATTTCTAAGCTTTGATGCTCTGAAATGTGTTTCGGCTGTTGATTGTTGAATATTATGATTACCAGCAGATATGCGCGTAGAGCATGCTTGTACCCTTAGAATAAAAGATTATTTAATCCCAGTTCGTGCTAAAAATTCTGCAGCTGATTATCCTGGATCTTTCAACTTTGTGTCTACTCTATGTTGCGTGAAACAATAAAACCAAAATGACAGAAAAATGTTTTCGGGCTTTATACAAGTAAGTTATGGCCATACCAAATATTCTTTTTTAGGTGCCTACCCAAGGCTGTCTCTCAGCTTTAAACTCAAGAGAAACATTGGTTACTTCATTCTGCAGACCTACATGCCTTCTATTCTAATCACTATCCTGTCCTGGGTTTCCTTCTGGATTAATTATGACGCTTCAGCTGCAAGAGTTGCTTTAGGTAGGCATTTTTACACATCTCATGCAGTGTGCATTAACTGAATGCTTTTTCTAGCTTCTGGCTTAGTGAATAGTGCATGATTTGAAAAATAAATCTGTTAGATCTTTTTATGTCTGGCTTGTTAAGCTTTGTATTATGCGAATCGGCATTTAAATCATCACAATTTAAATAAAAATTAAAGTGATTTCATGTCTAAATGAGCTAACTGTATTATCATTGTAACGAGAATTAGCCTAATTGTCTCAACATTTTCTGTTGTTGTTTTACTGCTTCTTTTTCTCCAAAGAGAACGCATTTAGTTTGTTTTTGCTCATGGCAGTCCAGAATACACATTCAGTACTGTGTTATGGATTATAAATTTCTTTTCCTTTCAGGTATGAATTAAATAAAGTTTTACTAGGGTTGTATAGCTAACTTCTCCTTAAGTTGAGGGCTTTTTTCCTTACTGTTGCCTTACATTCTAAAAGCAAAACCATTTCCCTAATTAATCTCTAGAGTACTTTTATATCGCATCGCTAATACGGTGTGTGTGTTTATACTGTTCCCCCATCAGAGGATCCAAGCACGTTACAAAAATAAATATGAGTATCTATTGCCAAATTTCATATAAATCAGACTGATTCCTGCCAGTACAGCTCTCATATAGATAAAATAAGTAAATCACCATAAAAGATACAATTGAGAATTTGACAGTTTAACTTTATAGAATACTGTCTGAGTTTTACCAGGCCTTTCTGTGTAGCATTTTCCCATAACAATTCAAGACTGCAGACATCCTGAAAATGGTGGAGGAAGGCAAGATAGCAGTGAGTCTAGGCTGGTAATTTATAACTGAGACTCGTTAGAGAAGGTTACAGTTTAGCTTGTTAAAAACATACTCATAGAATCCAACTACTGTTTGTTTGATTGAACACAATTTATTACAGGTGTAATCTTCTTTGCGGTACAAAAAGTAAAGACAAAGATAAGGAATGTAGACAGAGGTTGGGGGTGGGCTTTTTTTCCACGAGGAAAAAAAATATCCTAGAACTTTTCAGCTCTAGGATTTGAATGTTATGAGCTATTATGCTAGAAAATGAAAATTAATTCAATCAATAGACTTGTCAATCCTTTTTTTCCAGGAATCACAACTGTGCTCACGATGACAACAATTAACACCCATCTTCGAGAGACTCTTCCCAAAATTCCATATGTGAAAGCCATTGACATGTACCTTATGGGTTGTTTTGTCTTCGTTTTCATGGCTCTGCTGGAGTATGCATTGGTCAACTACATCTTCTTTGGCAGGGGGCCTCAGCGTCAAAAGAAAGCGGCAGAAAAAGCTGCCAGTGCCAACAATGAGAAGCTGCGAATGGATGTCAATAAGGTAAATTGAAACGGGGATATATTTTTAGCATTGCCCAAGCAAGGCAGACTTTCACTTCTGCCAGACAGAGCTTTAAAATGTAATTTCTTGTAGAAAATGAGTGGAGTGGGATTATTATGATTTTGTCTTAGCTCTGCAGTGCAGTGTACTTAGCCACCTCAGCAATGAATGCTGCCCTCTAGCTTGGAAGACTGAATGATGTTTTTCTAAAGCATGCGTTCAGTTAAGCTTTACTGTGAGATGTTTTCTCAGTCAGGATGTAGAGTTAAATATGTCTAATCAGTTTCCAAAGGAATAAATCCAAAATGATGGCTATAGCTGATATTCTAGTAAGAGCTGTATGGAACGCTGGAAATAAAACCTAAATTTAACCTAGTTTCATAAATCTTTCTGATAACCTGGATAAGAAATATCTGCTACAGAAGTGTTTAAAGCTTGAAAAGTTTGTATATTTTCAACATATAATGGCCCAGGATACTGTTGACTACATGAGAAACTGCTCAGAAATAAAGCATCAACTTGCTGTGCACTTAATTTTGAATCTAAAAATGGTCCCCTGAGGATGGAGAATTGAGGCGGAAAATACAGTTGCCAAGATACACACTTTTGGGAAAAGTATCCATTATGCTTAATGAAAATGGAGCACTTATCACAAAGCACTTGTCATTTTTCACTTTGACCATTTTAGATGAGATTCACACAGTGGCAAATCTGGGCTGAATGCTAAAATGTACTCAATGTGAAAAGTATAAACTTTCACACACATGCAAAATTGGAAAGTTAAAGTTAATTTCTTTTTTTTTTTTTTTCATGGGAAGCTTTTTGAATTTGTAATTCAGCATGATACTCCAAGGGGAAAAAATCAAAATCAGAATTAAAAAAAAAAAAATCTAAATCAGAAAAAAACCAAGTGATTATTTGTGAAGTGGAAACATAAGTTTCATACAGCTCTAGTGGTGGAATTTCTCATGTTTGTACAGAACTTTACACTACCATAGTGTGCTTGTGGACAGAAGAACATTTTGTTCCATATTTGCTGGAATAACAAAAATCCATCACGTGTTGATAGCATAAAACAGTTTTATAGGCTGGGGGTTTTTTTTTTTTTAGAAGGGGGGAAGGAGGATTATATTGTCATGGCTCAGATCTCCCCCATTCATTAATTTTTTATTTTTTTTTTAATTTGAGACAAACATGAATGAAGGCAAATGCATAATGAGGAGATTAATTTTGATGTTATGGTACCATAGATCACATTTTACCATTGTAAAGTTTGTGAAGACTCTGTAAAATCTTTTTCTTTCTATTGGTGATTTTTCAGCAATGTAAAAAAAGGTGCAACCTTTTATTTAATTTGTCAAATTTATTTTTTAAAACTCAGTTTCCCTTTAAACAATCAAACTTATTAACTATGAAACCCTGTAGGTAATTTTATGAGACTAGATCTGTGTTTACCTGAAGTCTTTCCTCTAACATCAGTGGAAATGTAAGGTCCATAGGTGTCAGAGTATAACCACTAGCTAAGGTACATTTTTGTCTACTGTTTCACTTGAGATATTTTCTGTATACTGCTTCATACACTAGATCTTTCAGCCATGTAACAGAATAGCCAAAGTCTAGTGGCAAATTGCTAATCATGAGCTAGAATTTGAAATCACTAACTTAGTGTACTAATCCAATCCAGTAAGCAAAGTAAATTACTTCCCAATAATGTTGCAGAAATTCACCAGCCTACAGGATTAGCACAAAGTGTACTGGGAACAACTTTACATTATTTATATTTTTTTATACTGAGCCTTTTGCTTAATATACCAGGCCAGCATGGTTCATAGCCTATGGCAGTTCTGCTCTGGTATCCAGATACACTCTGATCTGATAATCAGGTTTGCAATCCCTTAAGCAATAGATAGAGAATCAAATAGGAGAGGATCAGAAAAGAGTAGTGATCAGAAAACGTCGTACTGTGTGTAGACTGCTCTGGGGAGGAGGAAAGGAGCTGACAGCTGTTCTTGCTGTTTGACCAGTTGCGAGAAAACAGATTCATATTTAATGGACCTGAATTTTTTATCTATGGAAGGGGGACAAACATTATATAATTATTTTCATGTACAAGAAAAAAAAAATGTGTCTGAACTGCTGAATTTGGTTCAGATGCAGGTTTCTATGAAAACCCAAATATTTTAGAAATGGGTCCAAATGAACACTCCATCTCTAATTAGGATCCAACATTGAAGGACTAATTTTACGAAGTATGAGTATTCTTTTGTGATATTACTAGATTCCTATTGTATCACTACGTGGAATACTATGAATTTATGTTTGTGACTTCAGATACTATGTGATACAAGATTAATGAATGCCATGAGTAATAAACCTCAAAACATGAGGATGAAAACTTCTGTACAGCTCTGCTGCTGCATTCATCATAGATATTGTCAAAAAGGCGGATGAATAGTTATTGGAACTGCTGCTTGCAGTGCAGCATCTTTGTTTATACATTATAGACCAGCAAATCTGTTCTAGATTTCTGCAGATTCCAACACCAATTTTTGTAACAGCCTCTTATAACTTTTCTAAACAACAAAAGGTGATGAGAGGAGAAGTGCTGATTAGTCCTTCCATCCACAACTACTTGCAAAATCAAAGTAGAAGTTAATACATACTCCCTTTATGCTGTTGAATTCTCTGGTATGGAGAGATTCCAGGGCAGGCACAGGCATTGGTAGTCTCTCTGTTTTTGCTCAGTGTTACTCAGAAGATACTAGAGAGCTTACAAAACAGTGCAGAAGCACAACAGAAGCTGTTCTTCCATAACTGTGGTATCTGCTGAATCCAATGTAAACCCTTGGAGATTTGGTGACTCGGGAGGAGAATGTCCTGTTTTTTCCATTTGAGCAAACGCTGTCAGGCTGGCTGCAGAGCTTCCTCCGGGCTATTCCAGGTGAAACTGTGGCCAAATCTTTCTTTAAGTTTCATGTTGTATTCATGTCATATGCCCAATGAATGTGGTGATTTTGTTTTGGTTTTGGTTTTTTAGAATCATAGAATCATAGACTAGTTTGGGTTGGAAGGGACCTTTTTTAGAAATAGAATCATAGACTAGTTTGGGTTGGAAGGGACCTCTAAAGGTCATCTAGTCCAACCCCCCTGCTGTGGGCAGGGACATCTTCAACTAGATCAGGTTGCTCAGAGCCCCGTCCAGCCTGACCTTGAATGTTGGCAGGGATCGGGCATCCACCACCTCTCTGGGCAACCTGTGCCAGTGTTTCACCACTCTCGTCATAAAAAATTTCTTCCTTATAACTAGTCTGAATGACCACAGAAGATTGTAACTTCATATACTCCCTCATTTTCAAAGATTATTGACTCTGGGGTAAGGGAAAGGAAGAGAAGGGATTGGGCCTATATCTTGATTTGCTTCTTGAATTCTGAAACCTGAGTAATAAAATCATGGAGAAATTTAAAGGACATAAACCCCAAGGAAGATCCAGACTCAGTTACCAGCAGATATGTTATCACAGATTTGTTAAATAGTATTGGACATGCTCAAATTTCTTTGCAGTGACTTCAGGTTAAAATGGCTGTGTGTATGATCGTTCGACTCTTGAAGCTTCTCAAGCTGCATTCAGTGGTTTATTCCTTTAGTCTAACTTATCATCTTTTGCCTTTGTCAAGGCTAATTGTTCTCTCTGTAAACAGTTGTATTGTTGCTTCCAGGTAAATCACTGGCTTTCTTCTTACTCTAGACATCCTTCATTTATTGGAGATAGCATTCGCATCATTTCCTCACTTCTCTTTTCAAGCCTATCGTGTAATCCTACATTATTTCTTCAAATGTCTTTATTATCTTTATAGTCTCAAGTTTTTTAATCTCTTCTGTTCTGAATGACATAGTAATGCAAGTGTATATATAAGGACAGGTAAACTAGGAGTGTTGTATTTCTTCTTGAAGCCCTAATACGTGTCATAAATTATGGTATATATACTCTAACCCATTGTTATGCAATTTTATTCTGTGGACTTTCTATTTTAAATAAGAATGTTGACAGTCATCAGCATCCTTTTGATCCTTTGTAGGCGCATTTCATGCTATCTTTTCTTTAGGCTCAGGGCACTAATCTAATATATTGTCTGTAATTCTTTCAGATGATTAACAGATATGTTAAAAAATAGGGCCAAATTCTAACCTCTGACTTCACAATATTGTTCAGCTGACAGTCTTCCTATGGGTAATTGTACATATATCTGGGACATATCATCTCTTCAGTTTTAAGATAATGTGTCAAAGGCTTTACTGAAATCCATAACTTTCATCTGTTAATTCTGTAATTACATAAAAATGGTCTAGAAGGATTTCATCTAGAAGCCTGTGTAAGGCTTTTTTTCTTCTAATTGTAATTTTGGTTTCTATTTCTTTTGGGGATAGAAGGGGGCGGGGGGAGGGAAACAAGCTACTGTGATATAACCCTTCAAGTTTTCTCCTTTATGAAGCCTGGCTTTGTCTTCAAGGAGATGATTAGCCTAACCAGGATCTCAATGTAGAGCCTGGTACAACTGCGAATAATTTCTGATGTAGACCCCCAGCCATTTCAATATACTTAATTTCTGTTATTGTGGTTCGAATAATGAGCTTCTTGGTGCTCTCTCAGTACTGATTTATTCCCCATAAGTTTCTTCTAGAATCCGGTAGCCAAGGTGTTTTTGATTAACTTGTAAATTTTCTCTTACATTATTGGATCTTGTTGTGGATGTTTCCATCTTGGAACTGTGGCTTAGATGGGCTTGCTGATGACTGTGATGTGTCTGATGCATCTTCTAGTCTTTGTGTTGTTCAGGATTTGCAGTCTGGTCACCTTCCAAGTTCTGTATTTTCAGTATATTTTCCTGTGTTACTAAATTCCCGGTCAACCTGCTGCTTACGCTCTTGTTAGGTCTTTTGGATTCATTGCTGTTTTTCCCACAGTTGCTCATCTAACGCATTTGGTCCAGACTACTGCACA